AGAAATAAGAAATCTAATCTATGAATTATACAGCCATTTTTTTTTTCATCGTGCAATTTACGTTTTTAATAACTGCTTGCGTAATGCAAATATTAGATTTATACACACAAAACCACTGGCAAACATACTAATCCAATTATCGCAAGTTCATACCAGGCCCTAAACTGGACTTCAAAGTTTTATGCATAGAACTCCTACTCTGCATAAAGCACTAATGCATTCTAGCACAACGTCCATAGGGCAGTATCATTTCTTCTACAGGTGTATTTACTATTACATTCACGATTACTATTTAGAATGTTTCCCAGGTGCTCAGTGCAGAGCATGCTAACATTTTTATGTATCAATTTCACAAGCCACGGAGACATGAACCCCCTAGCCTCTAATTGAACAAGGCGCAATGCAACCGTGGACCCCCTAGATTGCGATATCCTGACGCATCGGCGAGCAGCTTTGTTTGCGGCATGTGTCCTTTGGGTTAGTGCAATCAAGCATGAAACACACCATCTTGAACACACATTGCTTGACCTGTATGCACAATACATACACACACGTCAAGTATCGCTTACACACATACATGTACACAATGTTTGTTAGGCATGCTACATGGTGTATACATCGAACACCAACACAGCTGGCACACACACGCCTTCGACTAAACATTCGTTGCTGGGGCATTCATAGTGACACGTGTGTGGATTGTACATGACTGACGAGTGTTCGTAAATTTGGAAAGGTCAATTCATTTGTTTGTCATAAGTTCTGTTCGGTTAAGAAACGTTTAGATTAATTAATGTGGAGTCAAACTTTTAATGGCTCTTTTGATTTTATGAGGTCACGCCGATATTTCTTGAGGCCGCTAATTTCGAACCCTGACTGTACTGCACATGGGGATGTAAATATGTTTACAGGTAACTTAAGAAACTTTTTTCTAGTGATCAACCTTTTTTTCATCGACATTTCGCCTTGCAACTTCTTCAGAAGGTTAACACTCTCCATCACAATAATAGGTCGACAACAGATATTTATCCTAAGCCTAGTGCTATAACTAGAAGGTTGTTAAGTTCTTGAAGCCACAAGATAATAAAAAATTCCCTGGTAAAAAGGATTTTCTATCAACTTTCTCCTGTGATATCTAATAGCTTAACCAAAACTAGTTTAGAATTGTAATTATGTTGAAACAATTTACATGTAGTTTATATCTAAGTAGAAATAAAACCTCATCCAAATTTTTTGTTGGATTTTAGAACTACTATGTAAATAAGTATAACGTTATAGTATACAAATATACACATATTTATTTAACATCACAGACATTTTTCTTCATTCATCTTTAAACCTCTAAAAATAGAGAGTGAAAACAATTAAGTAACCGTATAATTGCCTGATTAGTAGCATAATATTTTCGTTTTCAATATATAAAATTCGGCTTATCTGTACTTCACCATTATGCAGCACTCTTCAAGAGTTGTCATACCATATTAACATCACAGAACCTCCCATCAATGTTTTGAAATCATATTGTTCTCATCTATATTCATTGGTGCAGAATAAAGTAATAGTTAACGCCATTTCCCAGCGAAAACTTTAATCCAAAACTAGCATCTGAAGTTGTTGTTTTTCATGTTCTTGAAATAGCATTTAGTTTTCCAAATAATGCAGAAAGTAATATATTTATAGTTAACTTACTTATCCATCAGGAAACAAGTAAAAACTTATTTGTATAATATAAATATAAAAGGAAACAATGACCCTTCTATATAAAACCAATAAATGAATTGTTAACTTCCATAAACCTCTCACCGTGCATCCCACGGGCATATCTGCTAGTGAATATTGATTCGAATTGGTAATATTGTCTGTTTGTTTGTAATTAAGCACAATGCTACACAATGTACTCTGCCCACCACGGGTATCGAAACCGGTTTCTAGCGGTGTAAGACCGCAGACATCCCGCTGTGCTACTGGAGGGCGGCAATACTCTCATAAAACCAAAAACCTTCCAAGTTCTATAGTGTCTAACTTAACCAAATTCTTAGTTCATATGCAATTACTTAGTTTCTCGATATCCTTTGTAAAATTGTATGTTTAAACACATGCTGTTAACATTTAAATATATTTAAGTTTGGAACTCTATAAGAATTAAAAATGGTTATTTCTGTTAGTACTAAACCTAAGTTAAAAGTTACGACTTTAACTTAAAGTTTAAGAAGTATAAATATCATTTTACGCTAGTACTATTCTACATTACATTTACAAATACACAGGTCGTTAAAAATAAAAATAGGTTTTGTATAAAGTAGAGAACTAAGTATACCTTGGACCGGAGGACTATTCAGAAAATTATTCTACCTAACAACATCAACAAAAATGTCTGTACGCGGCTGTGACCTTGTGATTGTCCTAATCACTAAACAACCTAATTAAGATTAATATTTCAAGAAACCTTTGCCTAAGCCTACATCAATCACCTAACTCCACCACAGTACATTAAGTCTATGTTAATATTAAACTTTAACTTAGGCCTACTTTACTGTGAAAGCGAAAGCTATGCGGATAAATTCATATAATTGCATCACAAAGTTTTGCACTTACTTAAAAAACAAAAAAAGACACATAGAAGGACGTTTATAATTTTACTTACCTTATCGCTAACTTTTCGTTTCCCCTTTCAGTTACTGAATTAATTTCTTATTGATGTTTCTGTAATTAAATCCGAGAACAGGATCTAACTCTTATCTGTTATTGTTACTCGTATTCCTTAAACTGACAAGACGTTCCAAATAGCGCAATGAAATCTAGTTATGTTCTTCTGCAATAATTATAAATAACAGTAGTTCATTTATTATGCACTAAAACTTAAAACAGTACATAATAACCTTAAACCAAAACAACCACATAATTCTATTTGCCTCACAAGAGCAAAATATTGTAAAATGTTCTTGTTTTTTTTTCTCACTTGCAACATGAAAAATTATCATATGAAAGTTTCTATTTTTGAAATCTTTAGAAATGTACTTAAGGACTGATCTTGCGCTAAATCGATTTTATAGGTGTTTGATCGTGCTTGTTGCAACCTGGAAGGGTCAGGTGCTATGAAGACCTCTTCCTCCTATTTAAGGATTATGATAACTAATAATTGATTTTAAATTTGATACTATAATTTTTAATACATTACAAACCATTAACAGGCTCATCAGATATATATATATATTTGAAATTAAAATGTTGTTTGTTTCCAGCAAGCATAAGATTACATCACAATATCAGAGTTGATATCTAATCGCACCGCCTTTCACTCGCCTAGTACAAGTTTCCGGAAAGAAGAATTGAATGTATAGTAAAATTTCAGCTTTACTTTATCTTTTGTATTGACAAGGTCTTTCTCTCAGTATCAGAGCTCATTAGGTCGGCTAGATTACTTTCAAATATATAACGTCTTAGCTGGGACACAATTTATATCAGACTTTATGGGCTATTAAGTTTCATGACGTATAATGCCTACGCGGGCAAAGCATCGCCCAATAGTCGATACCACTGATCTGTATTATAGAAATAAGTGGTCGATACTTAGTGAGGTTATCATTTTTATTAATATTATTGTGATGTGGTATCAAACTATTATCAACTACTGGATCACGCTTCTTCACTTGAGGCGCTATATGCTGAAAAGTTCAGTGTAACTTATTCATTTATCGAAAGTCGCTGCACTTTATAGTTTTCTTGTTTGTTTCAGAATTTCGCACAATACTACAAACAAACTATCTGCAATTTACAATCCACGATTTAAAAATGATATACTAGAAGAAAGGCAGCTAATTAACAGCACCCACCAAATAGTGAGATTTTACAAACACTTACTCTTGTAACAAAACCATGACCTCAAAGCATGGAGCACATATTAGCAGCAATAAATCACAAACCATGAATCCTTAGATTCACAGTCCGGGTACACTATCTATTAAAGCTATGCCTGGCTCGTTGAAGTTAAAACTCGCTTTATTGTACCATATAAAAAATATAAAACATGCTATAAGATAAAAATATCTTTTAACTTGCTTTCAGGTGGCATTAAATGAAGAAATAATACCATACATTATCAAAATCCTTTGAAAAGATTGTCAACATTTTACACCTAGAATCTTCTATTAGAACTAACAATTTCCATTAGTGAAACAACAACATGCATGAACTATGCTAAACACATGAAATATAGTAAATGTTATAGATTTCTCAACATACCATAAAACACGACTACAAACAGAAAATTGTTAACAAACCAGTATATCACCACACTGTATTTAATTCGACTACCTTATCTTCATGATATGTCTTTAATTGACATTATACAAAGGGAAAAGTTTTTGAAATCGTAATAAAAGATGCTATGTAAAGTCATTTAACAAAATTTAAAACTTTGTTGGATAGTCAGCGTGGTTTCATTAGGAAGATATAAAATATGAGTATAGTCTGTTCAAGTTGAGTATATCATAGTTAATAGTGTTGCGTCAGCGAGTCACATGACTACTGTGACGCCACGTTTCTAAAACTATCCTGTACCTTGGCGAATGCTCTAGTATTTACTAGATATAGGGTAGTCTGGTATATAAAAGAGGGTGACAACGTGACGGGATAATGTAATGTGTGTGAGTAGATAGTGAGTAATCGAACTGCAGTCACAGGGTATTGTTGAAGTTAACGTTCGTTCGTTATA